CCTCCCCCCTTATCAAGTGCCAGTAGTCTGTACGGCCACAGTCCCTCTATCACTATTTGTGTAGTTTTCTTGATTTATTCTGCAGATGTAGGTAGAATATAGGTAAGGCTTTGGCGAAATTTGAAAGAGCAACTAATAATCTTCAACCTGGTATTTTTTATAGATTTTATTAGGGGCCCAAGCTTGTACGGCGTGGCCCCTATTCTTATTGTCCTTTTTTTTTTTTTATTCTTTCTTTCTTAAAAATCTTCTTCTTCAGACCCGCTGAGTGAAATGCTCTCATATTTAGTATTAGACTTTTATATATGAAGCTCATTTACGTTTGAAAAAATTGTTATGATTGGTCACATGGTTTGCCCGCCATTTTGGGTTTCTTCTAAACAGGAAGTAGTTTTTTTACTCGTGCCTAACTTAAGGGATTATCATCAATATTGCTGTATGGCATCTCTATATCAAACTCTTTCAGAAACCTAAAAAAAGATTTCAAATCAATCACATGGTTTGGCTGCCATCTTGGATTTTAGGCAAAATTGACCAAAAGTTTGGGCATTTGTTTCTCAGAGGTGATTCAACCAATTAACTGGTGATTTTGAATATTACATGTCTGAACATTGCTACATATGAAAAAAAATAATATATTTTCGACAAGTCACGTGGTTTGGCCGCCATCTTGGATTTTGTGAAAATGAAACTTGTGCAACTACATGTGTTGTATTGGTCAGATTTGGCTGAAATTGTGTATGTCAATTTTACTCAAGAGTCGCATTCTTTTCCCTGAATGTCACATGGCTAAGTCATGTGGCTACGCGCCCATGGGGTGGGGGCTTCTAACCTCATTAATATGCATAACTGCTATATCTTGAGCACTGTTGTAGTTAGGAAGATGAAACCTGCTGAATTATGATGATGTTAAACAAGAGATTTGACTAAAATAACAGATGACCATATATGGTCATGTGACCTCATTAATATGGATAATTGTCATCTCTGAAACACATTCTTTCTTTCTTTCGTAACTTTTTTTGTCAATCAGTTTGAGAAAACTACTGAATAGAATGGTCTGACAATTCTCTATAATGATAGCCCCTTGCGTGAACTGGTGCAACATGCTTTCAGAATTTTGATTGGTCAATTAGTTTGGCAGCCATATTGGATTGAAATAAAACCGGAAGTGGCTGTTTGACCACTTTTTGAGGGTCTAGGCATCTAGATTTTTAGTATATAGTACAACTCATGTGTAATAGATATCAGCAATAAAAACTTTAGCGGTCACGTGACTTTTCCCGCCATTTAGTTTTTGCTAAAAACTGCAAAAAACACTTAAAAATCTTCTTCTTCAATATTGCTGCATGGCATCTCCATATCAAACTCTTTCAGAAACCTAAAAAAGATTTCAGATCAGTCACATGGTTTGGCCGCCATCTTGGATTTATGTAAAATTGACCAAAAGTTTGGGCATTTGTTTCTCAGAAGGGATTAAACCAATTAACTTCTGATTTAGAATATAACATGCCTGAACATTGCTGCATATGCGAACAATAATATATTTTCGATAAGTCACGTGGTTTGGCCGCCATCTTGGATTTTGTGAAAATAGAAATTATGCAACAACATGTTTTGTATTAGTTTGATATATGGAACCAACTGCATTTCGACTTCATGGTACTAATCATTCAAACTAACCAATTATGTATCATGTGTATCATTTGACCTCATTATTTATGGAATATATGCTTGGGCCCCTGTGATGCTGCTTGCAGCTTTAATTTTTCATTCTGTTCGTCTGTATTTGCCAGTTTAAAAAAATATGAGCTGGCTGGAGCCTTCATCCCTTGTCTACTAGTATTTCTTACACTAGATATCAGCCGATACCCACCCCCAGCAGCCCCGCTCATAGGGAGTGCGTACAGTTGATCATAGTTCCTGGGATCCCTGTGGTTTAGCCTGTCGTAATAATTTGTGTACTCGTTTAATCTAACTAGGCATGTAATTGACTAGTCCCATGTATACCTTATTTCGGGCATTTCGCTTCCAAGTAAGCAGATACATCCTTTGTTTTATACTGCAAATGCTTTGTTTTGACCGAAATCTGTATATTTTGTATGACTTCAACTACGCCTCTGGAATATTATGTAGTTATTCTCCTCGCATGGCATTATCCATTCGCGTTTTTGAAAACCTGTCACCGTGCGACTCCTTTTAATGGCCGCTGGTGGCGCAGTTACATTCACATGCGCAAGTAAGCGGAAGCACAAAACGTATATACAGTTCTGCTTTAATTATTAACAATTACGTGGTTTCAATGTTTGTATATGCGTCACAATTTCAGAAACACTGGCACGCATTTTCTTGCCCCCCCCCCATCAGTAAATATGTCGCATTATACTTTATCACAAGAATTTCATTTTTTCAATAATTTGTCATAGTGAATATGTCATTTTGGATCGTGAATTACCCTTACCTCGTAAACAATATATTATATTGGCATTGTTGTTATTCAATGGGCGAGGCTGTTTACTCTGGCCAATGTTCAGGAGCAAGTTATGCGTTTATATGACCCCCAGATGGCGCTAATCGGCGCATACAATACAACACAATAACGTCCCTATTCCAATCAGGTGTGATCAGTTGGGCGGGGGTAATGTAAACATTGGAATTCCTTGATACGTGTGATTGGGAGAACTCATTGCGGAACTAACTACTGATCTGCGCACTACGTTCAAGTGATCTACCACAAGCTGACGTATTTCAGTGAGAAATATTAGTTTCACGAACTACTATCAGGAATGGCGTATAGTTCTTACAGTCCGTCTGGGGTGAGTAGCGTTTCACAACTATGTATAAACAAATGTTGTTTTCTATTATTTTAATTAAATTTATCGTTTTAACATTGCGTACATGTATTAAATCGCCGATTAGTTAGACATGTCATTGAAATGGTGAAATTACCACAACCTTTACGGTCTTGTTTGTGTGCATGTCTTATAAATGACCCCGGAAACAATGTGGTGTTATCCACAATTGTATTGTACTTCCCCATTCTTAAAAAAAATCTATATTTCTTCAAACTGAAGCATTTTTAATCTGTAAATTGAGCCTACTAAATCCCGCTGTGACACCAACGACTTAAGGTAGTATTTGGTGTCTTGTGAGTCCTGAAAAAGAATTTAGCTCGATTGCTCAAGATAATGGGGTGCAGTGAATATCTACATAGTTTATCTATACCATAAAAAGTAAATTTTTAGCTATCATAACTTAGTCATAAAACAGCAGTGTTAATCCTGAGCACGGTTAGTCCTGAAATCACTTCTCGGTTAAGTCAGTATAACACCTGTGTGGATCCGCACTATGGCTACACTTCATGAAATGGGGCATCGACCGTGAAATGCGGCGTACCGGGAACAAACTGGACGTTATTGATAACAACTGCTGAAATTGTGATATTTGTGCTATTAAATCAAATACCTAACTGATCACTATCAACTACGCTCAAATGTTGAATAATTTTGGTCACATTAAATCTCCACCTCTCCCCCTCACTCTCTCTCACCTCCAACTGAGGTTTCAATTACGTTTGTTCATTCTGTGGTTACGACCAATACAGAAATATCGCAAATGTTACGCGACAATTGATTGGTGGAATATTATACGCTGATTTTGTTTTCAGCCCGCCGTATTATTTAAATCCACTGTGCTGCACACCCAATGTGTTCTCGCACTTCCCAATATACGATTCGTACACTGAGTGCGTTACGTCAATCGTGTTATGAGAAGTCACGATTTGAAAATACAAATGTGGCGTACACTTGCCTGAATGTCACGTGATCATGCATCGTTTTCTACTGAAGTTATACCGTGACGTACCACACTTAGGAGAATGCGACTCTAACACGGAAGTATATGCACTGATAAATACGTCGACCGCCGCCATTCATCTGTAAAATGTCATTATAACTCTTGAGATTATGACGTCACAGTACATTTTCGCCATCGAGAAGTTATCCGTCCGGGGAGAGTTAGTCACCAGCCCAGTGTGAAATATTAGGTACATAGTCAATATTGGAATAAATGTGAACCATTGTAAAGTGTTAGCATTGGCAATCTTAAGTGAGTGCTACGGTCAGATTTCGGTCCCTGATCTCTATCTCAGAATTCAGCTACCTCGAAAAGTTCTGATTCGTTGTTACTGGAAATAGCAAAAGGCATCAATATGTCCCAGTGTGTGGGTCGAATGGTGTGGGTATGTGACGAATGGTTAGACCTTATTAGTTTGAGTGGATAAATTCATCATTGGTCTTATTGCTAGCATTCCCATCAACATTATAATCGCCTTGACTCGCAGCTCACCCCAAGAACACCCAATTCACTGAACATTGTACACAATCTCACCTGGCCTTAACATATTACAGCTGACCTTGTTGGGTCGTTTCTCCGAAACGATGACTAATTCGTCACCTTCGTTATCGGTATTTTGACCATGAGTCAGTGCAAAACTACCACACGTATTCGTGATAACCAATTTGAGCCAAGCTGTCAGTCGTTGTCATGGCTACACGCGATATGGCTATACGGAGTTACAGGTAATCTGGTCGTGTTGACCGCGGGTCATGGTCCGTAATTTCAAATATGTTAAGCATCTATAAAAATCAATACCACTTTAAAAATAACATTGAACATTTTTAACGGAGGAGTTTCTATTTTATAGATTTAGGTCCACAGTGACAAATTCGCCATTGATAATATATACCTTAGACTGGAGATGACGAATTGTTACTACCTCGATCGTGCCACAGTTGAGATCCGCATGACGTCACTGTGAAAACTATAACCTATTCTTTATACAACCGTGGAGTTCAAATAATTAATTTATGCCGTAAATGTGACAGGTACTTCTAAGTGGACTGCCTACTGAAAAATATTAAATTCAATCACCCGCTTCTAATCTAATATGACGTTGCCCATTTTTAATACTAGTAGATTGTGCGTAGGGCACACCCTACATGGCTTTATCACCAAAATCGGTAACTTAATACGAACAAAATGGGTTGTCAAATGTTCCAAACTGGTATGCATTATGTATTTACAATGGTTAGATTAGATTAGATTAGATTAGTAAATGATATTTTCAGTTCGAGTGACTACCGTCCATGTGTTTCCACTGGTATTTTCTTGACTGCGTATATTCACCACATCTATACATTTAGTTTTGTACATGTGACGTATCCACCAGCACAATATTACTCTTCAGTTAATACTGAGTATGCACCATATTGCAAAGTACCCTTAACATGGGCGCGTCACTAATAAATCTCATTTATGGAAGCAATATAACTAGATAACCGCGGAATGTTGGCGCGGTAAGAGCGTGTCATATTTATTAGTTATGTACAAATATAACTCCCGAATTCACGTCACAACGTTGTATTTAATATGATTAGTTCCAGATGACGCCCATTATAGAACTTAATTTGGCGCCGTGTTGCTACAGTGTCATGCAATTTCTAAATGGTTTACATGCTACTACGTATACATATGAATACACTGTGACAAAACACATTGCATAGAGACTAGGTGTACAGTTGATTATGTGTTCGAACACGTTGGTGCAATGACTGTATCACTTTAAAATATGCACCCACAAAAATGTCCGAAATATGCCACGAACTTAAGTCACTTCCTCAAAGTTCTTCTTTACACTCAATCAATCGTGGCTTTATCATATCTCTTGAGGCATAGATATATTGTTATGTAGCTTTTTGTTTTCTCTGCAAACATAGCAGTATTTAGGACGCATGAGTTTCATCTAACATATACTGTTATTTGTTATTCTAAAACTAGGATTTTATTTTACGAAAATCAAACCCTAATGTTAAAGCTGCAATATTGACAGAAATATTTAAACTTGCTAAAATACTCTGTTATCCACATTAGCTTTTAGATGCCACTATAAACCCAACACTGTGTTCGATTTTTTGTGTGGCACTCGATAGTTGCCAGCTAACGATTTGGCGAGACATTTGTGGCGTGGATTCAGACACGATGCTTGTTGACCGGTCAGTCTGCCGATAAACAGTTACATTTTTACTAAAATAAAGAGACAATAGGAAACGATAGATTAGTTTAAACAACAAGAACTTAACATCCCATGATTCCAAGGGTGCAATACCCGGATTACGGAGCCAATCACTTTTCGTTCTGCTCGTCCTGCTCCTTTATTGCGTCCAACAAATAAATTGATTCATGTTTTCTCCGAAAAGCCTGATATCCGGTGACTGACCCTGAATTATTCGGTTATTCCAACTATTAACTATTCGTTGGCGGATAGATGGGAGTGGGGTAAACAGTATTGGTACTATGTAGCAGCCATTCCTCCTCATCCCATCACAAATGAATGTATCATGACCAAATGTTATTATAAAAACGCAGCATTAAACCTAATCTAAAACACAAGTAATTAAGTTTGTTAGGCCAGAGTAAATCACTTGTCTTTGCTAGTGAACAATTCAACCATTAAACTATTACAGGGGGGCAAGGGTTATTTTCGTTCAACGTAATTGCAATATTTTTTTGTTCGTACAACGTAAATTGAAAAAAGAAATTCCGTAATTCTGTAATCACAGGCTAGACGTACAACGTAATCAATCAAATATTTGTTTTGTACACTGTAAAAATGTGTCGTTGTTTTCGGTACGTACAAGAATTTGCTAGGTGTTCTTTTTTTAATTTTCCGTAAAATGTAAAATAACCTTTATTTTCTCTGTAAACTGTAAACATTCAATTTTCACTGTAAACTGTAAAAACGTTTTTTTTCCTTGTAAATTGTAAAAAGCCCTTTTTATTTCCCGTAAAACTACCAGCTACCCAAGTTACGCGATAGAGCTTGGCGCTGTCACCGTGACGTTATCTTATGCTCAGAACAATTCGTTATTGTTACAGTAAGCCCCAGGCAGGGCAGGTCACCGTCTGAATCGCGCGGTTTCACCAGCTCGATGTAACCCCTGGCTGTTGAAGATGGACACGGTCGGTTTGCAGCATTGGCCTTTTTTTCTAGCAACATAAACATGCGTTATGAAAAATCAGGTAGAATGGCAGAACGCTTACATATGTTGTATTCGTTATATTGGATAACAAAAGAAATAATCGAGATATGAACATTTTTGGTATAGTATCACACTATTAAATGATATTGCGCAATAAAAGTACATGAAAATAACGTTGAATGTAAATTTTACTTGACAAAATTGAAAATAGAGCGTAAATTTGTGTTTATTGCTTGGCGTTTCTTCTGATTGAATGTACGCCACCATGCGACAGAGTCGCATTAATCATAATAGCTATACATGTCGGGTGATGGCGCTTGTCGTATCTCTGTGGCGAGAGTTTGGGAGTTTGCTCTTCATAGCAACTGCACATTGGAATATTCTTTTACGTCATTTAGCAATATGCTATACGAATTTAATTTGAAAATTTATTTATTTTTAACCCACTTAGGAAGAAACAAAGGATTTCACAACGACATTCACCCAACATGATGTGACATACACAAATCCTTCGTACGATAAAATCGATCACGAGACAGTTGAAATAGACATAAGTGATGGCGAGGATCTGGGTTCTAACATGAACGGCTATAGAGACTCCAAACTCGTATATGACGGCACAACTTGGGGTTCTGTAGCCGATTTGAAAAAATGGAAGATACAACAGGACGATGAAAAACACAGACTGACAACAAAATGGATGGCGTTGATATGGATAATTATTGCAGTAGTATTGGTTGTGGTCTTAGTCATCGTCTTATGTGTTCTATGTAAGTACATATGTATCAACATTTCTATTTTTAAACAATGTTAACCTTTCATGAATATGTGATATTCAGATAGAATGTCCAGTTGTGACAGTTACAATTGTTGACTGGAAACACAAAACATTTTGCAACCCCCACCAGTTGCTAATTATATTTGTGGCTGGCACCATTGTATAATTTACACAAACGACGACGACATTGATACGTTTGTCCACTTCTGTGTTTCAGTAATTCCAACAGACACGGACGATGTACTAGATTCACCAGGTTAGTACACATATTTACACAATTTGTTAAAAATATTTAAAGAAAATATTTTTCACATTGATCACAGTTACAAGTTCGCATAAAAACGATTTACATTAATTTGGATATTGTAATTGATACGAATAATAGGTTCTGTTTTATCATAGACTCTGTTATATAAATATTTCAATATTCTTCATGGCAACCGTTTGTTAAGTTGCTACTTTTATTTATCCGATTACTCAAGTCTAAGTAGGCACCTTGCTAAAATGTTATGGTCTTAGTTCTACATGGTGTCTAAAATGAGAGAATCCCGTTTCTCCGTTTTCACCAAAGTGTGGCGGGGTCGACATTTTCAAGAAAGAGAAGTGGAAATTGAAATAATCTTGTAGGTTCACGGTTCTACAATATAAACCGAGAAGTCCATAGAAGATTATTCAGAGTCAGTAGGGTTATGTAGCAGAGTGTCACATACACGAATTACATAATAATGCCAACAACGCATCAAAGCACAATAATAACAGACAATTTGATGAATATTTATGTAACAGGACAAGTATTTGTTGGATCAATGAATGTGACTCACCTGAATGGCACAGCTATTGAATGGAGCGATAAATATGAAGACGAAACTTCAGACGAATATAAGGAGTTAGAAAAAGCAGTTACTGTAACGGTAAGGCCATATTGCTTTTCATTATCCTATCCGTTGTATGTAGTCTGAAATAAAGACTAGACGAACATTCATTTGCTGGTTTTGTACTAACTAGATTTGGGGCTACTTTTATATATGTTGTTGTTTTTGTATATTATTTGTTTTCATTGCAGTTGGACACTATTTACAATAGTGGACCTGGTGATTACTACAATCATTCAGAAGTGACAGGTTTCAGGTATTCACGAATTACTGATAATTACCAATATAATATAATGTTATGTTTCAGTAGTGTCAATCTGTAACTGTCACTGAAACTGAAAATGTTATTTTTCAGTGAAGGTAGTGTAGTTAGTCACTTCCAGCTTTATTTCAAGAGACCTGCTGAGGACGATGGCGTCACTATCACTGATGAGAGAGTAACCAAACTATTAGTTACCGAACTTGATGACGAGAATGCCACTTATTTAATAGATGTGGACATAGAATCTATAGACATAATAGAAAGTAAGTTTAACATAGATATGATTATGGGGTTTGTGCAAAGACATTTTTAATTTACAACTGAAATGTTGAATATGTTAGATTTTCAACACATTTTTAACTGCATTAAAACTTACCCTATAGGTATTATATAACCCGTCCGCATATTGTGTGACAAATGTAATGGTCAATCTTCACTTGGATAAAATTTTAGCTGTATTTGTTACTGGGTCATATGAAACATCTTTGTCCTACAATTAATTAGGTTATAAAAACAACTTGCAGACTGTTTGTTTTTCCCGTATACCAGTGTAGTTGATCACTTGTTTGTACAGCCCACTATCACATGAGAAGAAATCCTTCATATTCATCATTAACCATTGGACAATTTTGGCGGTTGTAGATTATGGAATACAGATTTGAAAACATATCTGCACAAGTCAATTTTGAAACTTATATACTAAATAAAATAACAGAAGACCATTATATTTATAAAAAAAATATACACCAGGATTCATGAAGGCGTTATTCTTTTTTTTATAAAATATCTATCACAAGTCTATGGAACTCAGACAATTAACCTTTAATCTCTTCTTTAACACTGGCATAATGTCGTAATTTAACGCTCTATGCGATAATTATAATTGAACTTCATGTAACTATATTCTTTGAAATTTATTTCAGCAAATGAATCTCTGTAATTTTAAGCGTTTCAAAACAATTTGATGCGACCTATCTTTTGCGTTCAGCCAATGAAATCATCTCCTTTCATTTTTTGGAATAAATGTTTTATAAATATCTAGAAGTTGCCATATTTCGTGCCTTCATGAAACGTGGTGTGCACATTTTTATTGGTAAAAGCGCATTTAGCACAATGTCGGCATTACAAGTATTGTATATATTGCCCAATATGGGAAAAATTAATCTTTTCACAAAATGATATAGTCTGTAAGTGCAATTGCAACAATTTACAACACACTTGTTATTTTTGTGCATTTTCTGGAATATTTTAACAAATGAACGATTAGAATACAAACAAATAATATTAGGAATATATTTGTTTTACCCAATACAATATTGAAAACGTATTTGTAAAAAATGAAATTTAGTAAATTAAATGTTAATTTATAAGTTAAAAATTCGAAAGTTTTTTGTGGTGAAGCCGATTCGCCAATGGTATGATTACATCATAGATAAGATAACTAATTATATTTATAAGTTATTAGTTCTACATCATTTAGTTCACCCTTGATGTCACTGGTGCTTTCATATTATCTGATATACATTATTAATATTTTTGTATTTATATATTATTGATATTGAAAAAAGCTGAGACACGTTTTCTGAACACTGATTGTATCAATTTGTCTTTTTCCAATTCACCAGCAACACCGACATCTCCTCCAGTATTTACAAGTACAGTGGGAACAACTGTACAAAAGACAACCACTGCTATACATACTTCAGTACCCATATCTGCCCCACGATATACAACTACCATGCCAACTCCACAGCGGAGCACATCAACAGCATCAACGTCATCTACGTCATCTGTGAGAACAGAAACATCTACAATGGCCGCTACGACAACTTCACAGGAAACTGACGCCCCCACAACCATTACAAAAACAACTCTACCCAAGATCACCTCAGAAGAGTCCACGCTGACTAACACAACGACTATGACAGCAACTTCAACTACAACACCAACAGAAACAATTGAAATAACATCACAGAAAATAACAACTGACTTAGAAACAACTTCACTAATCGCCACCTCAGAAGAGTCTGACATAACGACTAAGGCAGAAACATCAGCTACAACACCAACAAATACAATTATAACAACTGATTCAGAAACAACGTCACCAGTGGCCACCTCTGAAGGGTCTACGTTATCTGACACAACGACTAAGATGGCAACATCAGCTACAACACCAACAGAAACAATTGAAAAAACTTCACGGACAATAACAACTGATTCAAAAACAACTTCACTAATCGCCACCTCTGAAGAGTCTGGCACAACGACTAAGGCAGAAACATCAGCTACAACACCAACAGAAACAATTGAAACAACTTCACAGGAAATAACAACTGATTCAAAAACAACTTCACTAATCGCCACCTCAGAAGAGTCTGGCACAACGATTGAGGCAGCAACATCTGCTACAACACCAACAGAAACAATTGAAAAAACGTCACAGAAAATAACAACTGATTCAAAAACAACTTCACTAATCGCCACCTCAGAAGAGTCTGGCACGACGACTAACGCAGAAACATCAGCTACAACACCAACAGAAACAATTGAAACAACGTCACAGGAAATAACAACTGATTTAAAAACAACTTCACTAATCGCCACCTCAGAAGAGTCTGGCACAACGACTAAGGCAGAAACATCAGCTACAACACCAACAGTAACAATTGAAACAATGTCACAGAAAATAACAACTGACTTAGAAACAACTTCACTAATCGCCACCTCAGAAGAGTCTGGCACAACGACTAAGGCAGCAACATCAGCTACAACACCAACAGAAACAATTGAAACAACTTCACAGAAAATAACAACTGATTCAAAAACAACTTCACTAATCGCCACCTCTGAAGAGTCTGGCACAACGACTAAAGCAGAAACATCAGCTACAACACCAACAGAAACAATTGAAACAACTTCACGGACAATAACAACTGATTCAAAAACAACTTCACTAATCGCCACCTCAGAAGAGTCTGGCACAACGACTAAGGCAGCAACATCAGCTACAAAACCAACAGAAACAATTGAAACAACGCCACAGAAAATAACAACTGACTCAGAAACAACTTCACTATTCGCCACCTCAGAAGAGTCTGACACAACGACTAAGGCAGAAACATCAGCAACAACACCAACAGATACAATTATAACAACTGATTCAGAAACAACGTCACCAGTGGCCACCTCTGAAGGGTCTACGTTATCTGACACAACGACTAAGGCAGAAACATCAGCTACAACACCAACAGAAACAACTTTACAAAATACAACATCAACGCCTCCAGGGAGCACATATAGGTACATACCAACAACGGAACAAGGAACTAATATTGATACTGATGCTACACCTGCATCAGCTACTGTAACAGATGTAATAACAGACGAAATCACAGTAATTACAGCTAGCGAGTCAAATTAAATTGCATATCAGAGGAGACATACATTTATGACATTAGATGCGCTGTAATTATATCTTGTCAATGGTAAACATGTAACCATGACGACTGTTGTGTATATTTGCTTTATAAATCCTTTACAACATTGTGTTATTATGTAATAATACCATGGAGATAACTATAAATTGAGAATTTTGTTATTTTTATATGAATTTGTATTCCTTGCTACGTGGTATTAAATTTATTTATAGAAATAAAGATGCAATTATAAGCAGTGTTCTTAATAAATGACAGGACATTTTACCTTAACTATTTATCCACGTAGATTTAAACGATAACTATACGTAGACATATATGAATATATTGTAGGTGCTTTCAACGCGTGGCAATGTACAGTTATCTTCCTGTATGTAAACACACGCAATCTATTCAATTCAGTTATTATATTTATAAGTACTTATATACGTTCAAGGACTAAAATATTTAAATATTCAAAACGTTCTCTGAATTCAGTATTGTCATATGGTTATGTCTGCGTGAAGCATGTAATCTGACCAATAAACATTGTGTGGTATATTTCTAGAAACATTACGGCATCCTATAATGTATGTAATGTTTGTATGGCTATGGGTGGAAAATGAGATAAGTAATGCTGTCACTAATGTGAATAAGTTCAACATATTTCTTATTTGCGTACGTGATTGAGATATGAAATAATGCTTGATATTTAGTTCTTTGTTCGTCGTTTGTATT